AGCAGGCTGGGGTGGTAGAAATATGGCGACGGGAACATTCTCTGTAAAGCCGAGTAGTTTCCTGCTTCAGCCAGGAGCTCTAATCCCACCGCGGTCTGCCTCTTCCACTTCGTCCTGAAATAAGATCAAAATACAGCAGATGAATTATTTAATCAACCCGCTCATGGTTAAATCCCCAGACCGCCCTTAATTGGTATGCAGAGGATTATTGCATGCACCGAATTTTAGTCCAGGTTTAATTGGGCACAAATAAAAGGAAATATCAAAATAGTCTGATATGCTTTAGTTCTAATGTCGGCTATCAAAGCTTCACTTTTCTCACACCTGCACAAGGACTATAAATACAGGCTCTATAATTAAGCTTTCAAATAAACCTTTATCTTGAAAAAATGCAGGCCAAATAACAGTTAAAGGAATATTAAATAGTTTTTTCTTAAACTCATGGACATGTTCAACAGTAATACTAAGGAGGGAAAATGTCTACTACCAACATGTATTGCTAAAAATATATTTCGGGACTATCAAATAAAAAATAAATAAAAATAGATTTGTGATGCGTTTCATTATAAGCAAAGGGTGTCGCCTTTAACCTTGGAGCAGGCATAAGTAACATCACATACTGTACATTGACATTTTCAGAAAATGTCTAATGTCAATTTGTTCTGCGAAATCCATCTTGACACATCAGAGGGATTTATCTTCAATTTGACACATCAGCCTCAAAAGTTGCATGAAACATTGGACCAATCAAATCTGATATTTTTTCTCTACATCTTGTTTTATTACAAAAGTGATCATCTGGCCTTCGGTGCGAATGAACCATTAGAATAAGAGTTGTGCATGCCTGTGCTGATGTGTTCATGGGTTTACATGGATTACAAATGTTAGGTGTCAACATAAAGGCCTGTCAGCATGTCAACATGAGAGGCGGAAAATACAAATCTACAATTTATACCATAATAATAAATACATAGTAACTGTTATAAATAAAGTTTGTGTCTGTAGCAATTATTCCAATGGAAAACAAATTGTATTTGTTGTTTTTTTTCAAATACTGAAATATTCCAGTGTCGTTCCGGCTGGGTGGAATACTTCTGGCTTTCTCTAATAAACATGTGTCTACAGGTCATGATCAGACCGTTTTTGCAGTATGTGGTTGGGTCTGCGCTCACCTTCTGTTCTGGTACCAGGTCTTGACTTGTGTGTCGGTCAGGTTGAGCGCCGCGGCCAGGTCCATGCGGTCCTGCACGCTGAGGTATTTCTGTCTCTCGAAGCTCCTCTCCAGCTGGTTGAGCTGGTGGTCGGTGAAGGCTGTCCGGGCTTTGCGAGGCTTTTTCGTGCGCATTTGAGGACTGTCTCTGCTGCTGGAGATCTCCCGGTCGTTCTCCTCTTTGGACCCTAAACACATGGCAAGACGCAGGAGTTAGAAAGCAGGCCTACTTTGAATCATCTTCTTTAAAAGTATTCTTCCTTTCAATACAGTCCAATTAAACCAAACATATCCACGCGCAGGTGTAAATTCAGCCTGCAGTCAAACTTTCCCTAATTTACTAATTACACTGGCGCCACAGCACAATACATGTGTGTGTATTCGTCACCTGAAGTTTTTCTTTTGGGTTATTTTCCTTCAGAAAACGAGAAATCAATATGTCAATCCATCTCTATTTGTAGCTGCTTTTCAGAGCACCGCGCTCCCCCCTCCAGGAAGAACAATAATCTCTCTAATTGACCCACTAGGGAGGCCCTGCGCGCGGGGAGAATCACCAGGCTTACATCTGTTTTCACATCTATTAGACTAATAAAGGCAGCTGGAACTCAAGACAAAGAATCACACAGCATAATTATATCTGTTATCTCTTAAATAAATATGTTTTAGCCCTTAGATTATTCTGAGCTCTGTGCTCTAGTTATAGCTCTAGTTATCTGTTTGTCATACAGTAGTCATATATTCATTGTACTGAATGTTTTAGTTTAATTTGTATATTTAAATGTGGGGTAATTTTGTACGTTTTTAAAACATATTTTGTTTCTATAATCCTTCTCTTACAACTTATTTTCATATGTTGTTTAGTTGTGCACCATCATACCGTACCATGGCATAAACTCGATCCTGATTTATTTTCTTGGCTACTTTATTTGAAGCCTATAATTTGTAACACATTGTCATGATTTATCTTTTTTCTGAGATAACTCGTCCTCTACGGGCTCTTACCGTTGCATTTCATTTCATTGTGATAATCTTCTCTTTTGTCCAACTTGCCTCTGCTATCGTCTTGTTCCATTTTGGGCCTGAAGCCGTCCGGAGCCGTGGCACAGTCTGGTTTTGGTGTGTGGTGAGGAGAGGACACGCTGGTGCTGTAAGGTGCGCAGGCTGCCAACGGTTTGCTGTCGCCCAAAATGTCTTTGATGAGGAACGAGGAGGTAGCGGACCTCGGGGCGCAGCCGGCCCCGGCGAGCGGCTGCTGCTGCGGGGACAGCGGCAGGCTCTGCGGCTGGCTGCTGTGGAGGTGGTGATGGTGGTGCTGAAGGCTGTCCTGGACCAGGTGCGCCTCGGCGCCGTGCTCCATGGTGACCGAGATGGGGGACGAGGGGGCTGTCCCCACAGTGTCTATCTCCGAGCATGGGGACGGGGTCGCCTGGCTCCTGAAATCCGCTGTCCTGCTGTCTCCGAGCCGGAAATCTCCGTTCATGAGGTTACCAGAGTTAGAGGCGCTAGATAAAATAGTGTCTATTCCAAAACTCGACCCGCTGGATGCTTCCATGTTAAGAAAGGAGAGGTGAAGTATTCATAACAACAGTGAGACGCTTCTCCTCCGATGAAGAAAGTCAGCAAAAATTAAATTAAAAGAGTTGAGAATTAAACCCAGGAGAAAAACAAAATCCACCGCTCAGACGCTCCAAGTGACATTCAGGGGAAATGCGCAAAAAGCAAAGTGTGCGTAGTCCGCGTCGCTTTTTGTGTTTGGATTTTGAACTTTGTGTTAAAAGTTGAGGTGTATAGAGAGATATACATAGGGCTGACTCCTCGACATCAGGCTCCCCCTTTTTGCTGCTAATCGCTCCAGTGTTGCTCTACAATGACTTCCTACACTGACGTCACGGCCCACGGCGAGGGGGAATTAATATTTTCTCCTTTATAATAAACACTCGACGCCTTTTCTCTCTTCACCCCCACCCACCTTCCTCTGCAACCATTGGCTCTCGCCCTGACCGGCTCCGGCACCTCACCAATCAGAGAGTTGTTTCTTTATCCAGACAGTTCAAGCCAGCCATTGAGTTTAGTTTAATTCCAGAATAGCTCTTTAAAAAAAGGAGGACAAAAAACACGCGTGTGCTTTAAGGCCATGTAAACATTTTATGTGAAATATCTGAACTGCGACAGAAAAGAATGAGCAAGAGGGAAATAAAAAGAGAAGAAAACATGTAATTTTGAGCTTAAAACAGTTTGATAAAGTATTTCTGAGGCAGCGTGGCTGCAGCAGCTCCAGCACCATGGTAGGGGGACATATATTTATTTTTAGATATCATTTTAATGAATTGACTCTTGCAGGAAATTACTGTCAATCTCCTCTTTTTAAAAGGCTCAACTGTTGCCTTATTTTTACTTTTCAGACCAGTTTTTTACTTTAATAATAATTTGGAAAGAAATATAAATTGAGGTGTTGCTGAGAGCGGCTGCAGTGTCATCTATCTTTAGATGTTATTCTCAGAGCCGCAAGGTCGACATATTTTAGGGACGGGGAGGAGTGCTGGTGACTGTCATGACAGCGCGTCTTGTTAATAACCATGTCATCCTAATTAGTAAAGTAATTATGAGGTGCTAATGAGCGTTCAAATGTAGTAGGAATTCTGTACTTTCTCCCCTCTGACGTGGGTTTGAAGGAAATGGAGGAGTGTGTGCTGCTCTGCTCTCTGTGCATAATGTCTGTATATGGGAAATGTCACTTCTCACAGATAGGTGAATGTATCGTGCTCCACTTCTCTTTCTTTCTTTTTTGCGGACCTGAAATGTTTCTTCAGATGGATTTTTATTTCTCCAGCCTCCGCTCTTCCCAGCAGTTTGGGGCTGAATCTTGGAGCGGGTTATGTTGTTATTTTTAATATGTGTTTTCTTCTTCTTTTATCCAGCAGGTTTACATGACGATGAAGATGAGTAGCCTACTGATGTAACGGATGAAGATGTTAAGCTGTTGTTCTCGCTGTTCAGAAATCCGGATTTGTAGGTTTGTTCCTGCTTTTAAATTATGCATTGTTTTAAATGGCAATTATCCAGGGACTTTATTAATTAAAACGCCATATATATGTAGGCCTATAGGTTTTTAATTCTATTCGCTTTCCCGTTGCATGCAATTGCAAAATTGCATTATGAGCATAACATGAAAAAAACGAATCTCCCTATTATTTAAATCACTTCATTTCTGTTTAATTTTTCGTCGATTTGTACATTTCTCCACATGTTATACGGTGTTGCGTCTGGAAATGTAAAAATGTTTAGCTTTTATTTCGAATTGAAATGTTTTGAATTGCAAACAAGCAGTAAATCAGATCTCTAAATAGCTTTGATATTTTGTATTATTCATACTAAAAACATTGAATGAGACAATTCTAAATTAATTGGTTTTAATTTCAATTTAATAAAAAAGAATGAAAAAGTCTCTTTTATTTCGGGCCTTTATACGAATTAAATTAAATGTGTTTATTAGTTAAATGCTTTAAAATGTTGCATGAGAGCAGCACAAACGTGATATTTTATTATGTCTCTAAGAGCATAATAAAATGCCTCCTCTCTTTCCTCTGTACCCCCGCATAATGCACGCGCAGTTTAAACACCAGGCGGCGACAGAGCGAGAGAAGCGCACGAGGCCTCGGCTGTCCTTTAATCACTCCCCTTCACTCAGAGGGCGGGAGACTAAATTAATCCGGACTTTCACATAATTATCAACCAGTCGGCCATTAATGAAGTCAATCTGAAACAAAGTGACAGTCGCGAGGACACGAGATTATAACCTACACACATATAAAGGGGTGCAGTGGAAGGCAATTAGAATATGCTGTCCTATAATCAGACTTTATTGTCTACAAATCAGATCAAAGCGATGCTTAAACATGTCAGTCAATGTGTGGCTGCTCATCAGCTGAAACAGGACCAATCAATGGCTTTATTAGCTGCCGCAGAGTGGGACCAGTTAGTGTGCTCTTATTGGCCCAGCTGATGGTCGATGATCGGCGGTGTAACACAGGCTGGACCCATCGATCCTCTGTGAGCTGTCACTTCACTGCTGGCGACCCTTAGGAGCACCCACCCACACCCCCCNCCCCCCCCCACACACACACACACACACACACACACACACACACACACACACACACATACATACTGTTAAATGCTATAGTTACAATAAGAGTGCATCTGTAAATGTAATTTGTTCTGTGCCTTGATTCGTTTCTTAATTACAGAGCAGCAACGTCATGATAAACGGGAGCCAATCAGGACAGATGAGGACTTTGCTGATTGGTTATGACGACAATAAGCAAGTAAACCATTTTCTGCAGGTCGTTTGAAGTAATTAGTATCCAAATATAACATATATGTGTATATTGGATTTCTTTAATTATAAAACAGCTTTAAAAATAAACTAATAAACCTAATAAAACTTGTTTCATATTTATTTTTGACAACATGTCAAGGGCATGTGACTGTGAAAATGTGCCTTTGCAGGGAACAGCAACAGTGACTGAAAATGTAACTTTTAAAATAAATCCAAATTTCTCCTGCTTTTAAAATACATCTAGATATTTTTCTAATATAAGACTTTGTAATCTATTACAGTTACAATCTACATTTCTCATACTTGTGATTGACTTTATGATGAACAAAATCAAGTTATACTTAAAATGAAAGAGTTTGTAATTTATTTCAGTTATTTAAGAAAATAATTCAAGCTATTCCAGTCTCATATTAAGTCATTATTAGGCTTTGATTTATTAGACTGACAATAAAACGTACTTACTTAACATACACACAATATTTTAATCACATTCTTCACAGTTAAAAAAAAAAAAGCTTACATTTTATTCAGAAGTGATGCGATTATGGCAAATCTCAGGTTTTACAGTTTATTTTAGGTTTTTCATGTCAATCATAAAAGTTGGGCTAAATTGGAGCTACCTGATTTGAAACAGTAAGTCTTATTGTCATGGTATGTGCAGGGTGAGGGCTCATGTCTGTCTGAGCGCTGCTCTGACAGATGGTTGGGGAATTGATTTAAAGCTGCAGACGAGAGCAGTCCGACGGTATTGAAGTCATAAGATCATAGTGACCAATCAAACATAGCCGTCCCCAGATGCTCCTCTGACGCTGCTCTGTTTATTTCAAAAGCTAAATGTGTGATTTTTCCATGTGGCAGGATATGAACCACCTGGCTGTCAAACATGTTCACCCTGCTGGATTATTCACAATCCTAAAAATCAAATCCTTTAAAATCCTCAGACCATCTTGGTACAAATCACTCTGTTGCAGTGAAGACTTTAAAAAAAAAAAAAAATGAACCCCTCTTCCCAAACTTCAAGAGAGTTTTAACACCTGGGCCCAGCGAGGGCTCATGTGTTCTGAAGTATCTGGCTTCAGCAAACATCACACACTTCATCTGTGTGTGTGTGTGTGTGTGTGTGTGTGTGTGTGTGTGTGTGTGTGTGTGTGTGTGTGTGTGTGTGTGTGTGTGTGTGTGTGTGTGTGTGTCCTGAGAGGTCACGCTGATAAGCTGAGAGAAAAAGTGTGTGTCAGAGTTCTGGAGGGAGATGGCTGCTAACAGAACCTCACAAATCTCAAGGTTCTTCTCTTGACTCACAAATTCAGGGAGAAATACCATTATTTATATCTGCACAAAGCTAATTGATCCAGAGATCACATGCAAATGCTGTGGATGTACTAGGGTCGAAAATCACATTCACTGAAAGCATTTTTGAACTTATAAGTGGAAACAAAATGTGTTGTATCTTTAGGCTGCAGGAAAAGGTTGCAACAACTCTAAGAAAGGAAGAAAAGGATAACCCTTACAAACTTAACACGTTTTCTTCTCACAATATATATATATATATATATATATATATATATATTGTGAGAAGAAAACGTGTTAAGTTTGTAAGGGTTATCCTTTTCTTCCTTTCTTAGAGTTGTTGCAANACTGTATATTTTCTGTTGAAAGAGAGTTGTACTCAAACTTGAAGGTGCAACTAAGGAGGCCACACATTGCTCAGTGCAGACTTCAGACGACGTTAAATGACATTTTATGTTCAATATTGCAATTAACATCAATAACCTTATGTTACATCAATTGGATAATTATTGAGCTTTTGTTTAAACTCCTATACTATAGGTCTATGCCAAATGTAAAAATAACTCACAACAGAGAGATTTCACCTTGAATAATTAGCTTCCTTCAAAACTATACAAAAATTCATCAAAACAGTTTTGGCAAAACTTTAAACCCCATTTAGCATGACTGAGTATATACACACTAAATAGACTAACTAATGTTGTATGAAGTGCAAAGACATGTATTGGGTCTATTCATTTATTTGTCATTAGATATAACTTTGACCATGACTTTATGTATAAGCACCTGTAACGGCTGTATTGACATTTCATAATCGTATTTAATTATACACATTGTATTAAGCGTTTACAAACGTTGTAATCATTAACTTATTAAACAGGCAATTTGAATTTCAAACTGCTTCAAGGCTAATTGTTGAGCATGACAAAACATGCTATACATTTTTATATTAGGTCCACCTATTTAATGTGTCAACATCTAATGGTGTTCATCATTTTTGGATGAAATTTGATGTCTTATTACAGCTACATTATTATGTGTTATAGACCCATTCATAAGTGTTAATACACATAAATGTGTCCTGGTGGGGGGTTAGTTAATTAGATTCTGCAATCATTATAAATGACCAGACTTTTCCACCATTGATTTAACTTGACCTGGATATTCTTTACAATACTGCACCCCGCTGTAGT